AAAAACAACTCTAGCTCACCTCCTAGTGGGGCATAATGCTAAAAGAGCTAGAACTTCTGGCTGCCAGACAATCTTAGGATCTCCTGGCTATTCTACACACAATGCCACACAATTATTATTGCTGTTGTTATTGTTATCATTATTATCATCATAGTTTTAAAGGAAAGTAGTTTGTACAAACCTCCAGACTGAACACGAGAAGAGCAAGTTGTCTTCACTGACTCCAACGCTCATCTGCCATTGCTAGGATGAAAAAGGGGCTGGGGTCAGTCTCAGAACCCATCTGCAGACCCTCTTCATAACCCTGCCTGATGCATTAGACCAGGGGTGTCAAACATGCGGCCTGGGGGCCGGATTAGCCCCCCGGAGGACTTCTATCAGGCCTGCAGTGGAACTATGGCCATCTCCTGCTTCCAGTTCTGCTGCTGCATCATAGCTTGCTTCGCCAGACTCTCTTAATCACTTGGCCATGTCAAGTTTTCCCCTGGGTCCTAGACTCAGAACTCTGAGCATGAGATTTCTGTGGGGAATGTCAATCAATCAAAAGTAGGTTTGCAGCTTACAGAGCTAATGTTTCAAGCACATTTTTATTTTAAGAAGGAAAAAAACCCATTTGTGCTTGTGTCCTTTATAATGTTTATATCTCCGCTACCTGGCATTACAATTTATGACACACATGGCCCGGCCCAACACGGTCTCATTTATATCAGATCCGGCCCTCGTAACAAAAGAGTTCGACACCCCGGCATTAGACAGCTGCCAGACACAGCTAAGGTCTTTTTGCTTCACTCCCAGGAACGCTACTCTGTGTCAATATTCTACCATTGACGTTTTCCATCGGAGCAGCTGAAACAACGGGTCCATCTCACGGAATGAGCCCTTGGCCACGATGGAGACATGAACCAAAAAATCAGAACACAGAACTCGGGTGGAGGGAGCAGGGTTTAAACAAAAGCAATATTAATATTTTTGGTCCAGTATTAACTTATTGGTTATTTCATTGTAATATGTAGCATTGCATCATGTGTCTACCTGCACCTCAGTTTTTAAAACTATTATTTAATTTTCACATACAACATAAAACAATAACAGAAATTATAAGCAGTGTTAACAAAGTATAAATTATACCAGGGGTGGCCAAACTGTGGCTCGGGAGCCACATGTGGCTCTTTCACACATATTGTGTGGCTCCCAGCAGGGCGGCTGGGGAAGCGAAGGGGAGGCATGCCTCCCCTCCCTGATCGGTCTTCCCAGGGGTCATTTCCTGCAGGAGCGCACAGGAGCAGAGCTCTGGCAGTAAGGAGCCCAGGGGGTGTGGCACATGCAGCAAGCCCCGCCCCCTGCAGCCCTCAGTCGGGCCACAAGGAGCAAGAAGCAACCAAGGAAGTTGCAGAGCCCACCCCCCCTTCAGGTACAAGCTCTCCCTCCTCTGCAAGGAGATATCTGCACGTCCCCCCCCCCCCCCCAATACCTAGAAATCCAAAAAAGTCCAGTGGAGTCTGAGCGGTGGGTGTTGCCTTCTGACACACTTCTGGTAATGTCAGGGGGTGTGACATATGCAAATAAGTTATGCTAATGGGTTATGCTAATGAGCTCCTGCACCTATTTTTCTATGAAATGACCCCTGCTAAAAATTGCATTCCCAAAGCCCCCCCCCCCCAACCTACAAATATAATTGGACAAATATCATTATCAATATCTATTTTTACCCCCTTTTTTGTTTTTGTTTTTGGCAGTCTCATTTAATGTTAATAAAAAGCAAATGTGCATATTTTCCAATAAAACCATACGTTTGATATTTGTTCATGGCATGCAGCTCTCAAACATCTGACGTTTGTTCTACGTGGCTCTTACGTTAAGCAAGTTTGGCCACTCCTGCATTAGACAGTCTTACGCCTACTCAAAAATATACAACTAATGCAATATCCATAAAGAAAGAACGACGTCATAAGCCAATAACAGTACCATAAAGGTAAAGGTAAAGGTTCCCTTGCTCGAAAGCCAGTCGGATCCGACTCTAGGGTTGTGGTGCTCTTCTCCGTTTCAAAGCCGAAGAGCCAGCGCTGTCCGAAGACGTCTCCGTGGTCATGTGGCCGGCATGACTAGACGCCGAGGCGCACAGAACGCTGTTACCCTTCCCACCAAAGTGGTACCTATTTAAGGTAAAGGGTAAAGGTTCCCTTGCTCGAAAGCCAGCCGAGTCCGACTCTAGGGTTGCGGTGCTCATCTCCATTTCAAAGCCGAAGAGCCAGCGGTGTCTGAAGACGTTTCCGTGGTCATGTGGCCGGCATGACTAAACACCAAGGCGCACGGAACGCTGTTACCTTCCCACCGAAGTGGTTCCTATTTATCTACTTGCAATTTCTCGCTTTCGAACTGCTAGGTTGGCAGGAGCTGGAACCAGAGACGGGAGCTCACTCCGTCATGCGGCACCCGGGTCTTGAACTGCTGAACTACCGACCTTCCACAGCCTGCAGTTCAGCGTCTTAACCACTTGAGCCACTGCAGTACCATACCTATGATATAATGTACATATTATAATAAGTATAAAGTTTTTGAGCATTTGGGCATTTCCTCCAGCTGTGACAGAAAAATCTAATAGAATAAACCTTTGAAGAAGACCCCACAGGGGCGGAAACATGTCAGGTCACTTGTTTAGGCCCTTGTGTTCGGGCCACTTGCACTTTGTAAGGAGGCTTTCATTAGGCCCTTATATGTTTTTAACTCTCTTTCTAATAAATGCATTTGTTTTTGTATATAATGAGTATACACTAGGTTTTTAATATTGGCCCTTTATCAGGCTTCTTTCTTACCCTTGTGGTTCTTGATTTAAACAAAAGCAACCCAGGAGGAAGGGACTCACCTCATTTGTCCCGCCCTGAGCGGCATAGGTAAAAGTGCATTCATAATCTCCCTGAAAAACACAGAGGGGAAAACAGAAGCAAAGGCATTAGACAGCTCAGTGTATCCTCTTACAGAAGCAGTGGCTAGGGTGGCAGACTAGGATCTGGGAGACCCAGGTTTGAATCCACACTCTGCCACAGAAGCCTACTGGGTGACCTTGTGCCAGTCACATACTCTCAGCCTAACCTACCTCACAGGGTTATTGGAAGAGAGGAGAACAATGTAAGCTGCTCTGGGTCTCCACTGGGAAGAAAGCCAGGGTATAAATGAATAAAATTTTAAAGATGAAGAGAAGAAGAGATTGGATTTATACCCCGCTCTTCACTCGGAGTCTCAGAGCAGCTTACAAACTCCTTTCCCTTCCTCTCCCCACAACAGACACCCTGTGAGGTAGGTGGGGCTGAGAGAGCTCTTTCAAGGACTGCTCTTGAGATAACAGCTCTGAGAGAACTTGTGACTGACCCAAGGCCACCCAGCTGGCTGCACATGAAGAAGTGGGAAATCAAACCCAGTTCTCCCAGATTAGAGTCTGTGCACTTAACCACTACACCACTACAGACTGCTCAGCAAGCAAGAGGGAACTAGGGCATGTTAATGCAGTGTGAAATCAATATGGTTGGGGAGAGGAATGAGATGTTAGGAATTGGGTTACTCTCTCTTCTGGATAGCTATTTAAAAAATAATCTGCCCTTTCCCCACCCAACAAAGCTTCAGATCAAAGCCTGAGATCTGGCTACCCCTGGCCGTGCCTTTGGGATAGCAGAAACACACAAACCTTTGTGCTGAAAACTCACAAATTGGTCTGCAAATTGAGTAGGAAATGCTGCGTGGGGCAGACACGTTTAACTTTTGTTTAAAAGCAGGGGTGATAATCAGACGATAACTTAAGAACCAGTGTGGTAGAGCAATGAGGGTTGCCAGATCATCCTATTCAGAGTAGGCACCACCCCAGGTGACACTATTTATGTGCAAAAACAAAAGGGCACACCTAGCCATTAGGAAACATTCAAACCCACCCTTGGGCTAGACCAGATTGCATAGCCAAACAGAAAAGCTGAAATTCATGAACAGACATCCAAGTGAGGGATTGCTTTGCACATTCCTTTAATCCCTTTTCTGGTTTCCTCCTCCTCCTCACTGATCTCTTCAATTGCGTATTAAGTGCCATCAAGTCATTTCTGACTTATGGCCATCCAATGAATTAATGATCTCCAAAGCATCCTCTCATTAACAGCCTTGCTCAGGTTCTGCAAACATGGTGCATGTGCTCTGTGGCTTCCTTGACTGAGTCAACAGAACAAATTCAGAGTCCAGTGGCACCATTAAGACCAACAGTTTTATTCAAGGTATGAGCTTTCGTGGGTCTATCTTGATTGAGTCAATCCATCTCATGTTGGCTCTTCCTGTTTTCCGGCTCGACGCAGCACGGCAGGAGCCCGATGGGACGCATAGCTGGAAGCCGCAGTCCGAAAGCAGTGCGCGCTAGAGGAGGAAGCATCAGAGCCTGCCTGTGATGGTCGCCAGTCGCCAGGAACTACGTCTGAAGCCGCCGGATGAGGAAATACGCCACATGGGTGCTGTTAGGTAACCCCCAACCCGGAAAAATTGTGGCCCTAGTCAGGTAACAAACTACAGAAGTAGTTCAGTGTAAACCGCTCTGAGACCCATTGGGGGTCATGGGCGGTATAGAAATAAAAAATGTATGTATCTATGTATGCCTTCAACTTTTCCCAGCTGTGACTCTTTTCTTCCCATGATGTGACCAAAGTATGACAGCCTCAGTTTAGAGTTCAGGCTTGATTTGATTGAGAACCCACTCATTTGTCTTTTTGGCAGTCCATGGTATCCATAATACTCTCCTGTCATTCAACTAAATGTATTTTTATTACTAACATCACACAGCATTTAAAGCACCGCGATTTGCAACTATTAAGAATTAGTTTGCACAACAGGGAGGCATCGCTCACTTGGCCACTTTTCTAAGGCAACTCAGCAGGGCCAAAGTTGCCAGCAGTCTGGAGAACGCTTTCCCGCCCGCATCCAATCCAAAAGCGAGAACGCTTCCATCGCATCGCCCCCACTTCACCTCCCTAGCCAATCAAAATGCGCGGCAGGAGAGTCATCACCCAGGGTTGCCAGGACCGGCTCAGCCAATCAGCTGTCTCCACCTGGCTCGCGCGTTTCCCCCCTCCCCCTCCTCACCAGGCTCTTGGAGAAAGAGTGGACCATTCCCCCAGGCCTCACGTCGAATTCGGCCGTGACGGCGCCTTCCTCTGTGCCGGCGACGGAAGAAAAGACGTGCAAGAAGAAAAAGAATGCAAGTAAACCGTCCCGGAGCCACCGCTCACTGACTGATCTGGGCGCCGCCATCTTGGAAAAGCCTTACCGGCGCTACTACGGCAAGCCTGAAGGGTCTAATTTAAGACCGCTCTTAAAGGGGCAGCCTTCCCTTTTGGCGCAAAGCCGCGGGGGCCATATTTGAAATGGGCACAGCGGCGCTCGCAGTACACAGGCGCTGCCAGTCGTCTTCACCCGGTTCCTAGGCGGACATGTTTGAAATGGGTAAAGCTAACTGCACGTGTGGATCGGTTCAGGTGGGCAAGCGGTGCAGAAGCAGTAGAACAAAGTTTGCGTCTTTAAGACCAACAAAGTTTTACCGGAAGACGTCTGCTTGCACACTAGGATTGCCAGGGCTGGGTTGGGAAATTCCTGGAGATTTTGGGGGTGGAGCCAGGAGAGGGCGGGGTTTGTGGAGGGGAGGGGCCTCAGCAGGGTACCATGCCCTAGAGTCCGCCCTTCTTTTCTCCAGGGGAGCCAATCCTCTGTCAGCTGGAGATCAGTTGCAAAAGCATAGATCTCCAGGCCCCACCTGGAGGCTGGCAACGCTATTGCACACGAATGCTTTTACCTTGAATACAACTTTGTTGGTCTTAAAGGTGCCACTTAGGGTTGCCAGTTCTGGGCTGGGAAATACCTGGAGACTTGGGGGGTGGAGCCTCGGGAGGGCGGGGTTTGGGGAGAGGATGGACCTCAGTAGAGTACAATGCCATTGAGTCCACCTCCCAAAGCAGCCATTTCCCCCGGGGGAACTGATCTCTGTCCGCTGGAGATCAGTTGTCAAAGCAGGAGATCCCCAGGCCCCACCTGGAGGCTGGCAACTTTACCTAACTTTACCTAAAGTCAGAGTCCTTGGGCACCTTTAAGACCAACAAAGTTACATAAGAACATAAGAGAAGCCAATGCTGGATCAGGCCGATGGCCCATCCAGTCCAACACTCTGTGTCACACAGTGCCCAAAAATACCAGGTGCCATCAGGAGGTCCAGCAGTGGGGCCAGGACACTAGAAGCCCTCCCACTGTTGCCCCCTCCAAGCACCAAGAATACAGAGCATCCCTTGCCCCAGACATAAGAACATAAGAGAAGCCAATGCTGGATCAGGCCGATGGCCCATCCAGTCCAACACTCTGTGTCACACAGTGCCCCAAAATACCAGGTGCCATCAGGAGGTCCAGCAGTGGGGCCAGGACACTAGAAGCCCTCCCACTCTTGCCCCTCCCCAGCACCAAGAATACAGAGCATCCCTTGCCCCAGCCTGAGAGTTCCTATCTATACTTTGTGGCTAATAGCCACTGATGGACCTCTGTTCCATAGGTTTATCCAGTCCCCTCTTGAAGCTGTCCATGCTTGTAGCCGCCACCACCACCTGTGGCAGTGAATTCCACGTGTTAATTACTCTTTGGCTGAAGAAGGACTTCCTTTTATCTGTTCTAACCCGACCGCTCAGCAATTTCATGGCATGCCCACAAGTTCTTGTATTGTAAGAAACGGAGAAAATGACTTCTTTCTCAACCTGCTCTATCCCATACATCATCTTATAAACCTCGATCATGTCACCCCTCAGCCGTCATTTCTCCAAGCTAAAGAGCCCCAAGCGCTTTAAGTTTTATTCAAGGTATGAGCTTTTGTGTGCGTGCACACTTCCTCGGATACACTGGCAGAAGAATTAAATAAAGTTATGGGATAGGGTAGAAATATCAATCACCAATATTGTTCAGTTGAACTTCCATGTACAGAGGCAGTCTTTCCTTGAACAAGAGACCTGGGGGAAGGGGATGCAGGGCTGCCAACTCTGTGTTCGGAAATTCCTGGAGATATGGGTGTGCATTCCGGAGGACATTGGGGTTTGGGGTGGGGATGGATCTCAGTGAGGTATCATACCCTAGACTCTCTACGATCTAGAGATCCATTGTCGTTCCAGGAGATCTCCAGGTGCCACCTGATGGTTGGCAACTCTAGGGGATGTAACCAGAGACTATTACTGTGTATATGACCTACTTGGCCGCTTCCTTTAGGCCCTAAAGTTTAGGGCATCTGGCAAGTCATTATTGGAGACATTTGGGGTCTGATGCAGTATGGCTTTGCTTACGTACTTATGAAGGAGCTGGACCCTTTTTGTGTGTCACCTCCCCCGCAAAACACTCTTTAGTGCTTTTACAAAAAGGGTGTTGTGAACAAGCAAACCATTGCAAGCCGTGGTAGCTAAATGTATATAGCTAAAGGTAAAGGTTACCTTGCTTGAAAGCCAGTCGAATCCGACTCTAGAGTTGCAGTGCTCATCTCCGTTTCAAAGCCGAAGAGCCAGCACTGTCCAAAGACATTTCCGTGGTCATGTGGCCGGCATGACTAAACACCAAGGCACACAGAACGCTGTTACCTTTCCACTGAAGTGGTACCTATTTATCTACTTGCAATTTCTTGCTTTCGAACTCCTAGGTTGGCAGGAGCTAGAACCAAAGACGGGAGCTCACTCCGTCATGCGGCACACTCGGGTCTCGGACTGCTAAACTACCGACCTTCCACAGCCTGCAGTTCAGCGTCTTAACCACTTGAGCCACCGTAGCTCCAATATAGCTTAAAGTGCATAGCTGCAGTATACCTTTGAATACCAGACGCCAGGGGACAATTACGTGGGGGGAACTTGTTACCTTCGTGTTTTGCTTATGTAGAGTGTACATAGCTAAAAGTGCATAGCTGCAGTATACTTTTTCTTTTTAATCATCTTTATTAATTTTAAATTAATGTACAATACAGCGTAATACAGTGCATCCATCTACAAGAATGTCATCTAAATGGAAAAATACCAGGCGCCAGGGGGGAACTTGTAGATGACATCTACAAGAATGTCATCTAAATGGAAAAATACCAGGCGCCAGGGGGGAACTTGTAGATGACATCTACAAGAATGTCATCTAAATGGAAAAATACCAGGCGCCAGGGGGGAACTTGTAGATGACATCTACAAGAATGTCATCTAAATGGAAAAATACCAGGCCCCGGGGGGGGGGGGGGGGTTTTTTCCTTCTCAAAGGGCC